TAACTTTATGATTATTAGCATCAATAATTGTAATATATAGAATAAATTGAACGTCAAGTTAGTAAAATTTATTGTACACGAGTACAATAAAAATTAAGAGGTAACGATAACAATTTTTCATAAAATAATAGTTCAATATCCAAATATACTATGATACTTAATAGATGATAACTTCTAAGCTCAAAAAATACAACGCTATACCTTAATATAACAATCATAAAATGGTCTTTTTGACATCTGAATCAATCCGAAAAAACAGCCAACAATAATGATAAAAATAAAACCGGATAATTTTACTATTATCATCGACGTTGTACAATACGCATTATCCATCCTATTTTCACCGAGCGGTCAGAGTTAATATGACTACTGATCGTTGTTTCAACTTTGTCTCTTGCACTACCATCATCAACGAATATCAGGTGATGCGAATAAAAACATTTCCATTCAATCGAGTAAGTCACAATCTAACCATCGACCAACTATGCCAATATAACCATGATTATATTGTTGTAACACAAATAGAAGACTTTAACATTAAATAATGGATTGTTATCATTACTCTGACTACGATACTCCTAAGGCCGCCTTTCTCTAAATAGAATAATATTATTATTGAAATAATAATGGACAATGATTAATATCTGATAGATTCAACGACTTGCAGTTGTTATCGTTGTAATATAAGATAAGTAATAGCGAGCTAATAAAACGTCGTGATAGCGAATAATTAATAACTGATAACGATAACAATACTAATAATATTAATAATAATATCATAATTAAGAATGGTGTTAGGAAGAGGAAATACAACATACAGGGTAAAAACTTAGAGGATAAAAGTATACTAAATGTTATTCAAAAATAAGTTCAGTAAATGTTAACAAGGGACAATAACAAATAAAACAATTTTTCTTCGCCATAGAACAAAGGAAAAATTTTAATTTTATGGTTAACCTTTTTCCTCATTAAGTATATAACTTGCATAGAGAATAATAAAATTTATACTTTATCGTATGAAATAACGCTATACTGCAACATTAATAACGATGTGATCTTTCAAGGGAGTAAAACAAGTGAGACACAGATCTAATAAAATTTTACATAAGTGACACGGCTTTGATAAGCGGTTAGATAACATACATAATGTTGATAATGAAAGTGCAGAGAATAAAACGTTAATCATAATACGAATAATCAGCTTAAATCAATCCTACTCCATATAATATCAAATCTTAAAAAATGAGATCAAAATCGTTCGTATTAGTAAAATATGACGAGTGTTGTTAACTTAATACACAAGAGATTCATTAAACTGCCATCAATACAGCAATAACAAGTAACAAAATATCAAATTAAAAATTATTCTAAATTGAGGGTTTGAATAAACGATAAATACCATAGATAGCAATATCAGAATATTGATAATTATAAGTTGATAATACAGAATAGAAATTATTCTTCTTACGAGAATAGAATCTTAATAATTATGGTGATACCATCATTGTAGTGTTGTATATTTCAAGTAATTAATAGGAAATTGCCTTTGAAATACAATCATAATTATGTTACTATCGTGACATGAAGGTTAACCCATATATCCACAATAACACTTCCTATGAATTCGAATAGCCATAATAACTATTTTAGATCAATTACTATCGGTATTAACACAGTAAATTGTTATCATAAAATGATATAAACCATATCGATAAAGGAAATAATTATTAGTTAAGACACTTAAATTCCCGTTCTCCAGGGTTACTCGAACATGTTAAATCATATTGATTCGTGTACTACTATCATCATCACAAGATCTATAATAGCCAATCTCTTGATACTATCTTAGCGTTGAAATAACTTGATAATATCATTAATAAAATCATGTTACATAAATCAGCAGCGTATGACGAGTTGGAAAATACCTGCTATGCGAGAAGCATAACCAAAAGCTCAAAAAGGCTTATATAACTCATAAAACACATAACAATGAAGCTAAACTTGATAAATAGTATCATGTTAACAGGTAGCTTACTTCAAGAAAACAACGAGCATCTTCATCTTTATAGATTACAGTTGTGATCAGCGTTACTACAACCGTAATCTAAAATGCTAAAGTTATGCAATGATGACAGTTATAATGGCAGTTTATGGTTATGTAAACGTGATATAAAATAGACTAGTCCTAATAATTTTGTTCCATATAGAAATTCTCGCAGTTGTGAAATACTCAAATAAGATCAATGTTCATGATGACAATACCATAAAGTGTTATGTAAGATATAATGATGTAACACAGGCTTTGGTAAATAGATTTAAATCTTGACACATGGGCTGGTCTTATACGATTGACCGGAAATAAAGTCAATTGTTACTACCGTCAGAAATGATACGCAAATAGGTATATATATCAAGTTATAAATGGTAATAACAAGTAAAAAGATTATCGAAATGAATACTTTTCTTAACAAAGCAATAACGATGCCGATGCAGTATAATAAGAGGGACGAACTATGATAAATTTTTTTGGAAGGAATAAGAACTAATAAAGTAACATTCATACTACTACAGTAGTAGTAGCAGCAATAATAATAATAATAATAATAATAACGATAATAATAACAATAATAATAATGTTAATAATAGTAATGGTGGTTTTAATAACATAATATTAATGTGGATAATAATAATTATATCAATAATAATAATAACGATAACAGCAATAATATTAAACTGTTCTTATAATAATCTGCCAAATATAAATGATTATTAACGATAAAAGTCAAATCTAACGTCATGGCCAACGCTAAGAAATTATACAGAAGGAACAAAATAATATAATTGAAAGCTCTAACAGGTAAAATAACATATTAACGGCATGGATAAACAATACAGATAATCTGTAATAAAGCAGTGAGAGATTCTAAAATAGCAATCCATATTAAGGTCATACACCTTCTGTTATGAATTATTTTTACAACCTCCTCTTTAATCCAAAAAATCTATCCTTAACATATAATATTACTGTAAGTTATTTTAATAAAATGTTAATGGATGATAGAATATGATTGATTAATTGATACATATAACGTTTGTCTATCTATTTATCTATCTATATGTATTTATATATAATTTATAGAAGTAGACAATATAGAGATTTATTAGTAAACTGAATATGTAAATGATGAAAAAGTGATATTAAAAAAAGTATAATGCGTTATATGTAATTCATTCATATTATTTGACAGATCAGAGTAGGAGCATTACCTTGTAAACATTTTTTCTACGATGAATCAAAAAATGTGTCATTTAGGCAGCGGCCCAGTATTCGCACAAATTTTACGAAGCAAAGCAATAAAGAGATTGTACTTAAAAGTACAGCAACTTGTGAGATAGGTTTTGACATGATGGTTTCCAAGAATAATAGAATTTGTAATCAATGTGCGGTTTCGCTTCCCCAGTATACCGCAAGGACAAATTATAAATTAGCGTATGTTCTGCTAGTAGTATAGCGCAGTATAATGGTGTAACAAGAATTAGTAGAATACAATTTAAATCTGGTATACCAATAAGAACATAACGCATCAAAGCCAACTGTGATAAAACCATTCAGGTTACATTTAACATACAAGTAGTTCCAAAAAAATACCACATTCATCGACAAAGACTACGTCTACACTTTGATTTTACAGACCATTTAATATCATATTAGCAATAATATGATAACATAATGTGAATAGCATGATATAATATCACATATATATATATATATATATATATCTTGAATTACGACGTTTCAGATGCATACTTTGATCATAAATGTTTCAATATCTCTATGACTTTTTAAAACCATCAATTCATAAATATAAAATTGTCTTGCTTCGGCACTTCAGGACGCAATACAATAATTCTTATTTCGTCGTACTTTGAGTAATAAGATCTCTTCTTAATTTATAATAGATCTGCATCTCAATTACAAAATTTGTATTAATATTTATCTTACTTTTGCTGATAAAAATAATCTTTCTCATCCTTAGTAGATCTTTTCCATGACTGTTGTCGGCTACTTGATAAAAAAAATGTTAGCCATATTCTTGATAAACTCCTACTCTTTAATCATTGTGCAAACAATTAAGTGTTGACCCAACGGACCATTGATTACATAACTACTGACAAATACGTACTATAGTAAAATAAGTTCATACATAAAAAAGAACATGATCTTGCTCTCTCTAGTTTTTACTATTTTGGACTACTTCAGTTCCATATCCTTCCATAATTAAATGTTGATCGACTTAAGACAATAGGTGAAGCACTTGGGAAATTTTTGATGCACAAGCAGGGCAACGATCATCATCATCTACAGCTTTCAATGCACAGTCCATACAATACAAGTTATGACCACAGGGTACAAAAGCAGCTTTGATTTCACTTTTTCTGCAAACAGCGCACTCTTTGTAACTGCGTTGACTGCGCGTATGAGCAAGTTGCATATGTACGTTCTGTGAAGCGCTACTACTTTTTAACGAATTCTCATAGATAGGATGAGATGTGGATGTTAAAGGATTTGTTAAAGGATCACTTCGTAGGCGCCTAGCACTTTGATGTTGATTACCAGTAGCTCCTGGATTGCCTAATGGATCAACTTGCAGTGGATTTCGCCTCGGATTATGGCTGCTACTGGGAAGTCCATTCAAACTACTCGTGCGTTTAGCTGCAATTCGGTTATATCTTACTTTTTCATTACCCCACAGATTCGGTGATTGGAGCTGTGGTGATCGAGTAGGCGTTGGTGAATCGATACCTAGATCATGATCTGAATCATTAAAATTGTAAGCGTTGTGATTATTGGTGTAATCTGAACCAACTTTGTTGCTAGGTCCACCATTAGAAACGCTAGAAAAGAAAAATGTATCAGTATTGGAAGCAGATGGTCTTCCAAATCCGGGGAAAGGTGATGAATTGCTCTGAAATAGCGCAGTCTGTGAAGGATATTCGGAACTCGATTGATAATCAGAGTCATCACCGTTAGTGTCAACAGTCCCTCCAGTTCTTGTAGCTATATGACCTTCGATCTCTTCTCTTGCTCTTTCCACGTTATCTTGTAAACCAGTTACTTCAAAGATTGGTTCTTTATCTCTTGATGGAGTTACAATGTAAGTATTAGTTTGTTGTTGAATTCTCTTAATAGTTGCACCTTTTGGCCCAACAACTAAACCAACCACACGATAAGGTACACGAACTTTAATTGTTACATGGCCAGGAGCATTAGGTGATGGAGGTCCATGGCTTGTGTTTCCTATACTACTGGTTACTACGTTACCAGTTGCAGCATTAGCTTTACGAGCTGCACGTATTTGCGAAAAGTGTTCAGCAGCGGACTGAATCTCTCGTTTGGCAGCTACAACATCTTCCCGTCGTCCAGTGACTACAAATACAGGTTGTTCTCCGCGAACTGGAGTTTTAATATATGTATTTGTTTTAGCACGTAAGGCCTTAATTTTGCACCCTAAATAGATTATAATTCGTATTACATTATTACGGTGTATTAGAAGCTAAAATAATCAATCATGGGACCTTAAAAAGTATTTAAAATTTACACTCTTGAGTCATAGACTTAGTAGTAAGCAAGGATACTCCTATACCAAGTCAGGTCATACATACATAAATATCTATATTGTGCGATTATATTATAGACTGAAAATATCTCTACTTTTTTATTTTTCAAATATATTGCAGTTAGTAAGTAGTTACTTTATCTGCAGAGTGTACGAGTAATACTATGTACAGTACTACATAGTAAAATTTTCGGTAAGCATAAACTACTGTATTCTCAAATGTGGAACAAATTAAGCTAGTAGATAGTGAATAAATAAATGTTTATTGTCCAATGAGTAAACACCCCAATTTTAAGTGGTCGATGATGCAATGTTGGAATATTATAACACAATTAATTAATCAACTAAAAATTGAGAACGGTTGTTGTAACTCGATCGCAAGAAAGCATCTAATGAAATAAGGTTAGCAGTCGAAGGGCATTGTACAATGTACAGTACAGTATACGGATATGTTCGATATCGTGATGTACTGTTGGCATAATATGTCAATATATGATTTTATTATGGCTAATAATGGTGTGTTCTAGAAATGTCACAATATGGAAATCAACAAAGGTGATATATAATTTGTGTCATCCACAGATAGTTGAGCTTAACCGTAAGCATACGTATCCTATTACAGTACATAGTTCAGTAGTCAACAGTACTTCATACAGCAAAATAAATAGTTACAGTATGAAATTTGGACTCGATACTATGAAGCAGTTTTAAACCGACAGTAAAAATATTTAACTGGTAAACATGTCATGAAAGCGCTTCACGTCTGTTACTCAAGCATCATTTTTAAATGCGAACAATAAAGCTCCCAGCCTCCCATACTGCATAATGTCACTTAAATTATATACAGTGATGATCTTTGACATCAATTTTATCGCAGTTGTCAGAGATCGAACGATTTCTGACAGTTTAAATCATAATCAACTCTTATAAACAAAATATTCACGCTCGGTGCATAGTGCATACTGTACGACACTCTTAAATTATAGTACTGTACAGTACAGTCAAAGTTAGTACGGCGAAGCGTATGGATCGAGGTTTTCACGGTCTGATCTAGTTACGGACCCATGGGGGTACAGTACTGGAACACAAATAACACGTGCGCACTTGGCAACCATGTACTGTACTGTACACTTGTGCTTGTACGCTGTGACAGCATTTTTACGTACAGTACCATGACTATGTTTTGTTTACCACAGACTGTACAGTACTGTACCTTCTTACGGTTATCGCTAGTTACAGTATTACTGATTTACTGTACAGTAGTGTACTGTACCATACTGGCTTTTTCCTTGACTACTTCAATGTACCGTACAGACGGTTCTGTAAAATCGTATAGACACCATAGCATGGCCATAGACAGCACGACGCACATAGTGACTTGATCCATGCAAAGGAGAAAACGACCGTACTTGCGCTACTGTATTAATGTACTAAGCGAAAAGTTCACGGCAGTACAATCTCTACCACTACTAACGTGGATACTAGTAATTGTACTGTACTGTGCTGTACAGTATGGTTGTAGCGATTCTAGTACTGTAAACAGACAGAACACGAATAACAACGTCAAACTTTCATTTTTCAAGTAGTCCCCTTACAAACTACAAACACACAAACAACAACAAATATTTAAAGTGTAACGACTTAAACTTTCAATAAGAACTACTACATCGAAAATATATATATTTTTTTTTACTAATCTTCGTCCTGATAAGTATTAGAGTTATGACTGAAGCAGAAAAGCATCGAACCATCATTTTACAAAACACGCAGCATAAATGACACGCTACAGTAATAATATCATTGTTGAGGTACCCGTACGAAAAATTCGTATATACGCGTACAGTAAGGAATTGAGGAAAGCAGGGCTTCAAATGATATGAGGAAGATATCCACTGGCACGTAAATATTACAGTATAGAATAGTTACATCTGCTACAATTAGTTAATTAAGCTAATTTGCAGTGCTGTACATTGATAAGACTACAACAACCGAATTTTGAGTCTTGGGAAATGACAAAGAGTGAACTGAAATAAAGTTGCTGATAATATGCTGTGGTATAATTATATAATCGTTTGAACATCATGTACAGTAACGAGAAGTAAAAATACCCAGAAAACACCGATTCCTTCAATTTCCGCAACTAAGTAGTTTATACCATTCATTAGCATGTTCGTTCTGTCAGGTGCACAGGAAAAATATCTTTCATACTTTATAATCTATTCTTACCTTGACGACCAACAATTTCAGCAACATGTTCAGAACTGGGTACAGGCACACATTCCGTAGTATTGCAGGACCTCCTTACACTACGAGGATCATTGCCACCATTTATATCCGAGAGGGGAGGCGTTTTAGAGTTAGGCTCATTTGGCGATTCGTCATCACTACTAAAACCTAGTATACTTAGATCCACCGCAAGCGAGATAGATTCATCATTTATCCCATTATTTCCACTTGCGGTTCCAACATTACTGCCATTCTGAAGGCAACCGTTACCTAACCTAGATTCCATGTCGGTTATATTAACTAACGAACTGGGCATGGATTGCTACAGAAGATGTTTAGCTATTAAGATTTCACAGAACACAGAATGCTGTGTATCTCAGGTTTCTCGTTTACTCTAGCGTCTTTTTGACTCTAAGAATAATAGAAATAATGAGTTAATTGAACTTATTTTATGCCCCCTTCTTCGAACAGGAAAATCTTGCAATTTTTATAAGTAAAATATTACCTGTTTGCGAACGCCGAAATTGGTGACTCTCTTCCCGGTCAAATAGCACAGTGGAAAAGAGAGACTACAGTATTGATATTATTATTTTCAAGTATAGTAATGGTCCAACTTTTCAAGTTGTTTGATAGTACAGGTCAAAACTATTTCTGGACTCCAATACAATATATTAAAAGATAGTAGGGGATTTTTGTTTCAATCCTATCCAACCTTTTTCAAATTAAATATTGCCTTTAAATTTTACTTAAGATCTGAAAAAAAGACCATAAACTTTGGTAAGTCTTTATTTAAGTAAGTATGCTATTACTAAACAAATTAGATTTTTAATTAATTCAGATGTGGTATCGATATAGAAGTTAAGTGAAGAATTGATCAATTTTACAATATTTAAAAAATAAATCATTTACATCTACATCATCTAATAGGCTAACGGTAAATCCTACCCTAAGACTACAATCTTACACGTTGAAAGTTTACACACAGCAGAAATACAGTTCTTATTATCAATCCATCAACTATACTGTTCCACAGATTATTGAGTAATAAGCTAGCGAGCGATCGGGACCATCATAGGGTACATCACGAAAGAGATACAACCGCTAAAGAAGTTGTAAATGTAGTGTAACTTTTTGACAATATAATATACACCTCATACTAGACACGTGTTATAAGGGTAATAAGGCCCCTAAATTTAGCCATGGTAATAGATTGAACGATTGAAGAAACATTTTAAGGATCGAAACAATACTTGGTGATACGTAAGAATACGGGTAAGAAAACGGAGACGTTACGTAAAAAAAAATGGGCATTACAGCAATAATTAATTAGATTCAATGAATCGTTCCATTTGTTAAAATATAAAAGAAATATACCTGATTTAATATAAGGTGTATTGAATTTGAGTTAGAGAAAGTTTTATAACTTCTTCGCTTGCACACCTTAAATAGATTGTGCGGGCGATTTAATAGACATCCAAGGTAATATTGAGTATAAAAAATGACATTGTAAGATATGAAAAACTACGACGGTAAAATGGGTAACGTGCGACCAATTCTGAAACAGAGAACGTCAAGTCACGCTATCGTTCCAATTATTCATTTTATAAAGTTTTAGATTTATTAGACCATGATAGCGTCTATTTCAATCATGATTGAAATAGTAACTGCTTCCGAGCAGTAGTACATTAGTGAAGCAAAAATAAACATGGAAAAAAAAATCTACCATAGTCCATGTCACCATGTACGAGCACGAACAAAGTCGATACCTAACATCTACAATAATCTCATTCGTTACTAATTTAACCAACACTTTTGATTAAGCGTACGCTGACTGTGTTGCAAAAGCATGTATTGACACTGACACTACCGTAGCGTACGTACAGTACTGAACTGTACGTAGGTCGAAGTGACAAGCCGATCGTTTTAGTGGCGTTGAATCATGCTTTCATGGCAAGTTGAGTGTAAGTCTCAAGGTAAAAACCGCTTATTACTTTCTCTTCTTTGCAATAAGGGCAGTACTTTGCTGCTAACTATGAAAATTTTTCGCCTTGACTCCTTATCTGAATTGTAGTGGGCCGTATACATGCTCATAGTATTCAACTGGCTTTTTTAATTAACTATAGTCATCCAACGACGACGAGAGAATATTGAACTGTCAATTTTTATTTGGGGAAATCAACAGTACAGTATACTGTTCTTAGCAACTGTGAAAGAAAAATAAGGCAGACTAAATGTGGCTTACTTTCTCAGAAATTACATCACTCTAAAGTCAAGCATAACGAAAATGGTAACATAGATACCAAGAAGGGTAATGTAAAGTTCACTGACAACAGCAAGTAAAAATAATGGCACTTCACCATGCCATGAAACTACGTACGCTCTTGTGAAAGTAAGTCTATTTGAAAATTTTTAAAGGTAGTAAAAGAATCAATACGCATTTTCTCTTCCATTAATTTTCTTTACTTTTCGTAATGTACTTACCACAACCAATGTTTATTCGTTTGACTTGGAATCAGGAGAAAAAAAGGAACGTAAACTTACAAGTTGAAAAAATACAACACTAAATACGAACGACGACTTTTTCTGTCAATTTTAACTTAGCGTTTGCCGTAATAAGTAAGACTGCACGACTGCAGTTATTAAACACAGTCGTTTGTACGCACTCA